GCCCTCGTTTCGCTCAGGTTCAAGCTTTCATCCCCATTTTCACCCTGTTAAGGAATGATTTCCGGGATAAAAAGTATCCTATGGCCTTCCCAGGGTCTCAAACTATCTTCTTACTAAATTTCATCTACATCGGTTTAGTAGATCCAGAGATTACCCCCTACAACGTCAGAAATCACAAACTTTACCTCTTTATAATATAAATATGGATAAATAATGTGAGCTTTTATAATCAAAATCTAGGAAAGCGACTGTGGAAATTTTATAAACGCAAAAGACACCTAGGGGCGCCGAGGTTAATCCACTAGTCTTAATATATAAAAAACTAACAGCTCACCCTCGCTTCGCTCGGTTTCGCCTCTAGACAAAGAAAAACAAATCTATCCCACGGGAACTGTACATTTTTTCGGGATAAAAAGTAGCCAATATGTTATTCTGATGTATGAGCTATATTATAGTAAAGCTTCATTAAAATCCATTCAGTGGTTTTTGCGTGAAAGAGTAACAAGTATCCATACATCTATATATCCAGACATCCATACAACCTCACAAACTTTCGCATTTATAATATTAGTAGGATTAGTATGATTAACCCGTTATATAATTCAATTTTATTTATAAGTATTGATTTTATTAATATTTATATAGTAATTAAAGTCTTATGATATTATTTTTATATTATTTGAAAATTTTATATAAAACTTATTACACTCTTACAGCAGAAAATAGTTAGAGGAAAACCAACATATATGTATGACACGTTCTATACCAGTATAAGCTCCCCTTCTCCATTACAATGTTGAGTGTACGGTAATATAGAGCCATTTTTATACGTCGGTATCATCCTGCGACTGCTTTCTTAGAACAAAATGTCCTTTCATATATATTTAACAAGCTTTAAAAAAATATGATACCGAAGATAAATATAATACTATTAATTATCTATCTCTTAAAAGATATTTCACAGTATTTCAATCTTCCTCTAAGTTTTATTAATAATTTATTATTTGATATATAAAGTAATTAAATATCAATATACTTCGGCGTTTATATTTTGGAAACTCTTGTTATAATAAGATAAACAAAATTGTTAAGTTCAAACAATAAGTACGTTTATAAATCCTCGTCAAAGTCAACCGCTTCTCGTTAGCGTCCCTAACTTGTTTATGAAATTTTTTGGCTGTTAAAAACATCTCATTATAAAATTTTAGTATTTACCAAACTACCTCAGCAGAGTTATGATATATACACATGTATTACCAATTTTTTGAAGCACTCAATAAACTAGGGACATGATGACATTTTTCAACGGTTAAAGAATAGAAGAATTAAAAAAATACACATTTTACATTATGATTATATAACGATTAGTGACTCTCCCTCGCTCCGTTCGTCCGTAGTTACGTTTTAACGTTTTGGTGTAGATTTCTCAGAGATAAGATATTTGCCCACAGTAAAAAGTATCATATATGTTGATTCGGATCACCAGCTATCATCATACCAAATTTCATCAAAATCTGTTTAGTGACTTTCTCGTGATTCGGTCACAGACAGACAGACAGATAAAAACTCTAAAAACTATAGATTAGTCCTCTGTATTGATAATAATGACTATTTCAATAAGATTTTCCAAAAAAAAATTAATGTACAGATTCGACTCAGTTACAATTATATTATATAGTATGTTTAGATTTCTATCTTCAACGATAGTGATAATACATCTTTTCTAAGCCAAATTAATGAACACAAAAACATATAAATGATTCGTGTTATTATTTTTACATATTATATATTTAATATTAGTATATTCCTATTTCATCTTCTTTTTACATAATACCTACTAACGTTGTCTCGCGCTCCATCCTTGTAGTACAAGTATATTAAAGATCCGTGTATAATTTATAAATATATAATATATTATATATTTACTATACCTACCTTTATAAATTATACACATGTTACTGTTTTATATTATTATTGTAAAGTTTCATCAAAATTCGTTCAGTTATTTTTGCGAGAAAATGTAACAAACTTCCTCACAAGTTTTCGCTAACTTCGTTAACGCAATTTGTGTACATTTAATTTAAACCCTGTGCAGGTTAAATTGCTAATGCATAAATTTAAAATGTCTTAATTGTACTAAATGTTTGAATCTCAGGTCAGTAATTAGAATAAAAGCCACAAAACTAATTATTAATTTTAAATCAATGGTTATAGCAATTAATTCATGAAAAGTTTTTCATTTTATTTTATACTAGCAACCAAGCGTCCCTGGGTACCATTTCCATTTATAATGTTATGCTCTCATAATTGCTTAATCGGATATATATTATTATAACATGTTTTCCCGTGGGAATGAGTTATGAGATATTTTCCCGCGGCAGCAACCTACCTATCGACTATCGAGCCCTCCGACTGCATCCATTTAAAAAAATATACCAAAGGAAATTATGTGTTATAAGTTATATTATAACTCATTTTTTCCAATGCGAATATTACATCTCCAGCCCTCCAACTATATCCGAACAAAAAATAACATCAATCCCTTACTTCGATTCAACATAAACGAAGGACAAACAAACATATATTTACTATTATAATATGTGTATGATTCTTCTTATTATCTAAATATATAATATATTTATTTAAAAATATTTCTTCTATACGTTCCTAAATCATTCACGACTACGATAAAACTTTGGTCGTAAATTATCTATACTATATAATATTATAAAGAGGGGAAGGTTTGTGAGTTCGTGAATTTGTGAATTGTGAGTTTGTAACGTTGTAGGGGGTGATTTCTGGATCTACTGAACCGATGTAGATGAAACTTTTTATCTCGGAAATCGTCCCTTAAGGGGTTGAAAATGGGGATGAAAGTTTGCATGGGGAATCAACCTAGGGACGAACCCGAGCGAAGCGAGGGTGAGTCGCTAGTATTATTATAATGACTAAATAAAGACATTATAATATTAAATCTTCACAATAATATTATAAGTTATGTTGTTACAAATTATCTATACATATAATAAAATTGTAACTAAGCCGAATCTGTACATTAAATATTTTTTGGAAAATCTTATTGAAATAAACATTATTATCGACACAGAGGCCGAATATATAGTTTTTAGAATTTTTGTCTGTCTGTTACCGCATCACTGAATAACCACTGGAGGGATTTTGATGAAATTTGGTATAGTGATAGCTGGTTATCCGGGTCAACACGTAGGATACTTTTTACCGCAGTAAAAGTACCGCAAAAACTGCAATGTAAGAGTATACTAATATGTAAAACCTAAGAATTTGGTTTTTGGTCGTCTGACGTATTCTAATAAAATCCTTCGTGTAACAAGATAAATACTTATTCAAGAAAAGTATTTATGTAATCAGGATTCCAAGTGACATTTTACATTAAAAATTCATAATATTTTATTTACTTATTTTTAATCTCTTTACTTTTAGGACTCTCCTTTATTTCTTTTTTATAATTTTCTAGCGGCTTACTCTCGCTTCGCTTAGGTTCGCAAAAACAAAAACAAATCTATCCCACGGAAACCGTACATTTTTCCGGGATAAAAAGTTATTTAGCCTATATGTTATTCTAGACTATAATCTATCTCTGTGCCAAATTTCATCCAGATCAGTTCAGCCCTTCTGGCGTGATTGAGTAACAAGCATCCAAACATCCATCTAATCTTACACAATTATAATATTAATAAGATTTAAATTTGTTTATATTATATAATTTGTAAAACCAATGATGTAGAGATAATTCCTATTTATATGCAATATGCATTTAACACCTGTTCACTGAAGTTTTATTGTGAAATGTGTTGTGACAGCACACTACCCACTGTTAGCATATCTGATTGGCACAGTCTACTGTAGTGTATAAAATTAATATATGTTCCAACCATATATGAACATGGAAACTCCTTATGCATTAAAAAAAATCAATAAATTTCTCTTTTTAACCCTTTTATTAGCGTCACGTTCAACTATGTGTTATGTAATCATATCTTCGAAGGCGACTTACTTATATCTATCGTATCAATGTTTTATACTTTGTAAGTAATATCCTGAAGACAATACTATAATTTGATAAAGAAGATCTGTTGATGGAGCTAGTGTATTGTGAAACTCTTCAATTACCACTAATAAAACCTTTGTTTTTAGTTTCATTTTACTTGTTGCGATGAGTCCTATAATAACTTTCTTAGATTTACGCGAATATTCGACATTTTAAATAAAACTCTCCTTTGAGATTATTTCGTTGATTTATTTCGAATAAATAAATCCACGAAATAATCCGAAAAGATAGTTTTACTTAAAGTGTCCCATAATATTATTTATATTATAGATTCGTCAAGAACATGTAAGTTAGTTTTTTTTTAATTATAATGATTTTTTTCTGATAACTAACTATCGTAAAATCTTTTTTTTTTCATATTCAATGAGTTAAATGAGTATATTTTCTATGGTAAGTAAAAAAATATATTTTCTACTTTAATTTTTACAATTCAAAAACTCCACCAATATAACTTTACACATGAACGAATAATTCGTCCATGTGCGTACACATCGACTCTATGACGCTATATAAAATTATCTATACGTATAATAAAATTGTAACTAAGCCGAATCTGCACGTTAGATATTTTTTGGAAAATCTTATTCAAATAAACATTATTATCGATACAGAGGCCGAATCTATAGTTTTTAGAATTTTTGTCTGTCTGTCTGTCTGTTACCGCATCACGGAAAAATACTGGAAGCATTTGGATGAAATTTGGTATGGTGATAGCTGGTTATCCGGGTCAACATATAAGATACTTTTTACCGCGGAAAAATATCTCATTTTTGAGAAAAATACAAAAACTACAATGTAAGAGTATACTAATATGTAAAAGCTTAGAATTTGGTTTTTAGTCATCTGAAAGCGGGCGGATCCGCGGGGAATGCTAGTATATTATAAAATTATATAATGATCTTTTTTGTTTCAGGTGTAATGTATGGATATAAAGGACTCGTGTTAGTATTCGGACTGTTCCTAGCCTACGAGACCCGTTCAGTGAAAGTACGGCAAATCAATGACTCGCGGTACGTAGGCATGAGCATCTACAACGTAGTGGTGCTCTGCCTCATAACTGCTCCAGTAACATTGGTTATAGCGAGTCAGCAAGATGCAGCCTTCGCATTCGTCTCCCTAGCAATTGTCTTCTGTTGCTTTCTCAGCATGGCACTTATTTTCGTTCCAAAGGTATGTACTAGAAATAAAACTTTTAATATTTACAATGATATATAGATAATAATAATTTCATTTTGGTATTACATTTTTTATCTATATTTTACTTTCCCATATGCTAGCTTTTATGCCAAATTGACAAAAAATAAATATAATTTAATTATCAATATTTTCGTATATACAAGTAATGTAAGTTAGAACACTAAAAAAAATCTAGTCGTTTCCCCATTTTGTGCACGATACTATTACAAATAGAAGGAATAAATATAAGAACTATTATATAAATTAAGGTCAAGTGCGAGTCTTAGTGTTTACTTTCGGAATTCTAGACTCTGTGGTTTCGGAGATAACGTTAGGCATTTTCTTTTTCTTCTGAAGACTATACCTTATCATATTATGCAAATGTTCTTTATCTATTTAAGTTATGTACATCTGCCATTGAGCCACTAAACTATTTACATGTATGTAATATTAGTTGATTCGGAAAAAAAGGATGTGACATGCTAATTTTTAGACACAAAAATAATTTGAGATACGGAACCCTAAAAATAAATACTACGCATATTTTACTTACTTGTATTGCATGTCAAGTAATTAAAAATATAATTTAATATAACTTACCTGCTTTACTGTACATTAAAATTTACTTGTTAACGTCATTATTATTGTTACACTGTTGAAATTTAGACATTACTCTGCTGGGACGTAAAATAACCACGTTATATGTGACGTGTTTGTGTAATATAATAAGCTTTTGAGGACATTGAAATATGAGATGCATTAAGAGACTGAATACATCTTGCAATTTTGTGTTTGTGTAGTACAGATTATTATATTAGACGTATCACATTATGGTAACGTAATTGTTAGCGCAAATTTGATAAAATATCTTAAATGACTTGCTTTATTAACCAAAATGAAGCAGAGCCGTCTAACGTCTATCTATACATACGTACATACATACATACATATTTGCTAATCTTCTGAACTACTAAACGAATGAGTGGCCGTTTTTAGTTTAAATGACAAATTATTTTTAAATTTTTAAAAGAAATATGAAATGAGGGACAACAATTCCCGGTATATAAGTAGTATTGTATGGTATAGTATATAAGTTATTTATATATTTATTTATATATTTAAACAAATTGATAGTTAAGAGTGTATTCCTATAAAGGTAGGTAAAATATAGTTAAAATAGCGTCAAAAACGCATGGACTTAACTTTCAAAATGCATGGATTTTAATCACAAGTGGCCCGTATGATGAACACAATTTGTAGAATTTTGATCACAGATAGTTCTCATTATACAGTCAAATTTATTACAATTTAAATAATGATATTAAAGCAATATAAGTACGAATAAAATATCCCAATTAAAAAAAAGTTATCAGTATCATGCACGTGTTTTTTCAAGTACCTAGTTGACAACCAATCTAATAGACCTCTGGATTTTTGCTACTCTAACTAAATATTTATATGTGTAAGACTTAATAAAATTGTTGAGTCACATATATAATAAAGGAAAGATATTGTTGTTAAATTGGTCTGCCATTGAAACAGACAGACGAAAGTCTAAAAATCTTTGTTTTGATGTCTAAAGTAGATTTCATTTTAATCATCTTCCTTGCAAGAAAATATTTATTATGTTTATTAGAAGATAAAACACAGTTTTCTAGTTGATTTTCCACTCAGAATTCATATTAACATCATAATTTCAAAATTCCTAACATCTCGACTTCTGCTTTTAACGAGTGCGTTCCATATACAAGCATATTACTGTTCAGTGTACATATATATAATATATAGTTATTTTGCCGCAAATTCTCTACAGCACTTATTTAAACTCGCGGATCTTATATAATCCCGTAGAGTATCCAATTTATATAAAATTCAGAAAGAGACGGAGCTTTCAGGAGAAGTACATCCTTACGTCAGGGATACTCAACTTTAGCGTTGGAAAATAACTTATTTAAGCCAGCTATGATATGTGTCATTTTTGTCTCATTTATCCTAAGGGTACGTTGACATTATACGTATATTTAATTTAATATCTATCTATCGATCTAGATTAGTCTTATGTTTGGGAAAACGCGGGTTTTTGAGTTTTCATGCGGTTTTCTTTTAACCACTCAAATGATGGTCCATAATTTCGCACGCTCAGATATAAGCATCGTGATCAAGCGGCTAAGTCGCAAGATTGACACTCATAGGTGTCAGGGTTCGAAACCCGGTTGGTTATTTTTACTCTTTATTTTGTATTTATTCTAGATTTTTTTTAAAGAAAATTATACCTTTGGCCAAAAATTCCGAGCGAAGCTCGATCGCCCAGGTATTTTATAATTTATATGAATATATGTTCTAAGCTGAGAATATTAGAGATATTTTTTGTTTTCGTAATAGGTATATCTTTCAGTACTATATATAGCTATACTATTAAAAATTTTAGTCCTCTAGGTGTAGCAGGTAGATCTATGTATTTGAATTATACTATGGTATGACTTGGTTACGAAGGTTGGTTGACAAAGGCAGTGGTAACCCAGTGGTAACACGCTCGCTTGGGAAACTGAGTGAAGCGAGTTCTAATCCCGGGTCTTGCAATTCTGATATTTTCATGTGTCATCACTTCCAACATGATTACTACTTGTCTTAACGGTAAAGGAAAACATCGTATAGAAAACTGCATGTCTGAGAGAACTTAACTAGTTATCAAAAGACATGTAAAGTCTGTCAAACCGCACTGACTTAGTTGTTAAATTAGTTAAATAAAGTACGTAATTTTACGTGTAGGTACTGGCCTTTATTCGCGGATGCACCTTTATATCCTTCCGGGTAAATTATTTATGTATATTTGCACAGTTTCTAGTGTTAGGTCACCTATAATAACCGTCCTCAAGAAACAGACTACAAAATATAAATTAATTATAATAATGACCTTTTTAAATTGGACTGGTACCAATTTCCAACATTAGCGCTTTCATACAAAATATCAAAGTTTTGATCTTAATATATTAATAAGATATATGTACAATGTACCTACATAGATATTAATTCGTGAATATTATCAAATATCTTATATTTTTTTCAATAAAACATGATTTCGTAATAAAACTTATGTCACTTAACTAAACCTTAGGTGTGCAGAAAATATTAATTTTGTAAGAATAGAAAATAAAATGAATATACCAATTAATTGGAAGCGTTTTGATCACGCAAAACATGAACAGACCGACCAATAGAAATAATACATAAATAGAGTCCAGTTAATTATATGAAAAACATTTTGAATATCGGTACTATACACAATTAGTAAATTTCGACTACACTGAAATGTAATAAAATTTAGTAGTTGCATGACCAATTTGCCAATATATGTACCTACTTTATTTAACCGACTTCCAAAATGGAGGAGGTTCTCAATTCGTCGGAACCTTTTATATATATACTAGCAGTACCCGCGGAATCGCCCGCGTCCAAACTTCCGATCGCTAACAAAATTCACAGGATCACCCGCCTAAAATTACCTGAAAATGTCATCAAAATTGCTCCAGCTGTTTTGGAGTCTATAGGAAACATACATACACACATCGATTTTTATCATATTTAATCAACAAATTAATTTTATTTATTGCTCGGAAAATGGAGTCTTTTATGAAAATTTAGTAACATGCCGACTGCAGCGCCACCTACCGGATCCATTTGTCAATTCAAACCTTGCAGGGACTCATTCGAATATACACAAAAAATATCATTAAAATCGTCCCTACCGTTTAGGAGATGATTAGTCGCACACCGACAGCAGCAAATATATACAACTTATACCTATGTTTGAAAGTTGTTTGAGGATAATAAATTAATAAATTGTTATAAAAAACTCCAATTGTGTAACTGTCCATAAAAAAATTATTCTAAAAACGTTGAAAGTTTTTTTTTTTGTAGTATCGTTTTTTTTCTATGCATTTTAATCATGCTTTCAAGCAGTGTCGAAATACAGAAAGCTCTCGGTTTGCTCTAATAATTTGTTCAATGATCCAGGGAGGTAATCTTTTCATACGCGTGAACAAAGTTACGATTATGTACCGAGCTTTGTTAACTATGAAAACTAAACTACAATTTCTACAAAATAAGCAAAAAATACAAGTAAGCGACAGACAGAAAGGGAGAGCTATAGATACAGAGAGAGATATCAGATATTAGATTTTTTCATTCTTCAGTTGTGTAATTCCCTAGGTACTAACTTCCATGCTCCATATATAATTAATATTATAAATGCGAAAGTGACTATGTCTGTCTGTCTGTTCCTTTTTACACTTACTCCGCTGAACTAATTTAGATGAAAGGTATGGAGATAGTTTGAGATCCTGGGAAGGACATAGGATAGTTTTTAGCCCGTAAATCACCCTTTAAGGGGGGGGGGCGGTGGGGGGTATGTATGAGGAATCGTTCATTATAGCTAGGGACGAACCCGAGCGAAACAAGGTGAGTCGCTAATAATATTATAAATGGAAAGTTGTGTTTGTTCATTTTTAAGTTATTTTACACAAGTAATTATTGAGAAAGTCCTATAAATAGTAATATTTTAATATAATAAAGTTTGTATGGAATATTCTATTATATAGGTATGTAAATAATAACAGTGAGTATAAATCGCTATATTTTACGAGTAAGTAATTCACGACACACTTATCCATTCCAGCGGCAATAATATGCGATAAATTACGCAAATATGTTGTTTTCCTCTATACAAATAAACATGTAAAAATTAACATATTTATTACTATTGATTCAAAATCTCTCGGTGTAGTGTTTGCTCATAGTTACAATATCGTATCGTAGTCCGAAGCGGAAACCAACTAAATGAAAGCCTTCAGCCTTATATTACTTTGTAGATTAGTTACTAAAGTTGGTAATATAATCAAAATGAGATGTAGGTATTATTAATTTTTAGATTATATTAGTTATTTTCTTCCTATAGCATAGTTTCTCTGTCTAATAGTTAAATGGTTGAAAACATTGTTGCTTATTTACTTTACTTGACATATTTATTTATTAAAATGTAACTTATGCTTCTTTCATTTTATATCAACAGTTTTTATTGGACATTAGGTTTCTGTAAAAAAACTATACCTATGTAATGTAGAGTTGCCCTATACCTATACAACCTACACGAACTTTATCCATACTATAAATAAACTTATACCATAATACGTATTATAAATGCGACAGTAACTCTGTTTGTTTGTTACCTTTCCACGATCAAACGGCTGAACTGATTTCGATGAAAATTGGTATGGAGATAGTTTTTACCCTGGAAATTATCTTTTAGGAGGTGAGAGGGGGGGTAGAAGTTTGTATAGGGAATCTATCATTTATCAAGTAAGGGATATAAAACTCATCATACCTATGTACATACATATTATATAGGCTATCTATTCCATACTAACCGTCAAACGTACCTGGGGATGAGCCCGTGCAAAGCGAGGGCGAATCGCTAGCTTACTTATAAGTAAAGCAAATGTCACTATTAACCAATAAAAATCGATATAATATTATTTCATTTAAAAATTTAACGAAATAATAAGCTATGATACCCCTTATATAATCCCTTGGAATCTGTTTGTATTCTTAGTTCTGCTAAACGGATTTGATATTGTTTTCACTATCATATAAAGAATAATTCGTTTTAATATAATATAGTTATAGATAAACAGAAATCGATGTTTGGTCAACAACTCGTCAAACCTCAACAAATCAAGATTGAAAATTGGAAATAACACTTTTTTTTTTTGGGATGCAATAGAAAACACCCTAATTATTTTTAACTGTAACATATTTTAATTGAACTGTTTCATTTTAATTGGCTTCGAAAAATGTAGTATAATAGAATAGGAAAGATACAATAGTTTCACTCTATCTGATCCTTGTTACCAGCACATCATTAATTCAAGCACCGCCTTTAACCCATTGTTATCAGACTCGGTTTTGTTAATTACATAAAAGAAGCTGTTTTTCTTTTGTACCCTCAATTCTTTTGTTCTAGCTCTGACCTGTCGATAACATCCAATATATTTTCTACAACGACCAACCTAAGAACGGTCTAAAAGGATGAAAGGACCTTCATCAAAATCAAATTTAAAAATCATTTTCTCGTATTAAGGTTGTGGAGAATCATTAAACTTATAACCTTATCGATGTCTGTAATAAGGTGGAACGTTTAGTGAACGGTTTGATTGGCACTTAACGACAAATTTTGCACAGCGATCGTGATCGTCAACGCTCGCGTTACGTCTTTTATTTTTATGATATGATTGGCCGTTGGGACTTTTATGCTAATGGTATAGAGAATTGATTTTTTCGAATCATCGTGTACGTATCTTTACAAATTCGGATATCCATTTAAAATTTTCTATAATAATTGTGTGTTTATCTTTTGAAACCCGATGACAGAGGTAACGAGTGCGATTAATTGGCCACCATCCGATTGGTGCCACTGCTTAGACTACTTAACTTTAGCAATTTTAAAAAATAAATATTTTCTATACTACACCAACATAATATAAAAACAAGCTTAAATTTAATCTTTATTGTATGTACATTAAAATTAACTTGTCTCATTGATATTAAAAAGGTTAAAAGCAAAAACGTTTTCACAGGTGATAGAGGTTATACGACACCCCACAGAGCGCGTTGAGAGCGGTCGGGGATCGGGCTCCGGCTCCGCCCCCGCAGATGAAGAGCGATATCGTGAATTAGTAAAGGAAAATGAGGAGTTGCAAAAACTTATAGCACAGGTAAACTTAAATATAAACAACCAATGCTATTATCTATACATATAATAAAATTCTAACTAAGCCGAATCTGTACATTAAATATTTTTTTGAAAATCTTATTGCAATAGACATTATTATCGATACAGAGGCCGAATCTATAGTTTTTAGAATTTTTGACTGTCTGTCTGTCTGTCTGTTACCGCATCACGGAAAACCCACCGGAGGGATTTTGATGAAATTTGGTATGATGGTAGCTGGTTACCCGAATCAACATATAGGATACTTTTTACTGCGGTAAAATATCTCATTTCTGAGAAAAAATACAATAACTGTATTGTAAGAGTATACTAATAATTAAAACCTAAGAATTTGGTTTTTGGTCATCTGAACGCGGGCGGAGCCGCGGTCATAGCTAGTCTAATATAATATTATAAATAACTTTTTCCTATAATATGATATTCAACTTAATATTATTATTAGCGTTTTTATTAATTAAATCAGAGGATAAACTATTCTAGTAGTTTCTACTAAGTTTGCAGTCGTGGATTCGTCAGACATGTAGATTTGGGTAATTATCTGTAAGGACCAACTAACAGGCAATTACAGCCTATAAAAATGAAATCTTTTCGCTGATATGAAAAGGAAACAGTATGTTTATGGTTACCTCTCACTTGCTGTCATGTAAAAATTATTAGATAAAAAAATATATTAACAACAGAGAAGTAATTCTGTCTTTGCCGACTTCTGAATAAGAAATAAGAAGGAGTATTTACTAATTCTTAAAATTAATTATAAACTGTTAATTCTTTTTAAATGAGCCCTAATATTCTAATTTTTATTCTAGTTTTGATATAATATTAAAATTCTGTTATATAGCATGTAACAAAATTATAAGTATAATTATTTTCATAGCTTAAATTAAGTCATTTTCGGAAATTTGAACATAAACATTCTCCCTTGAAACACGTTTGTATCATGTTAGCGTATTTGCTCGCCGTTTTTGAGATATTAGATAACCACTAACTAATAACTGAGATTATATGGTTTTAGCGCCAACGGTGTCGGTGACTGCTGCGAAATATTACCTCTTCTGGGTAAAAGCCAAAAAAAATTGTACTAAAATATACGCTGTATTGAATTCTTCAACAACTTATCGTATATTTGGGAAAATCTGTGAAATGTTCATGCTAAAATCTTTAAATTTTTTAGTAAAGAATTTCATAAACTAAAAACATTATTTTCATGTAATAGACGAGTTATTTAATGATTATGAGTGAAGTTTTTAGTTTCATTTAATACTTTCTTATTCACAGAGAATAATTATAAAATACTATACACTATATAATTAATTCTATTTCTCAAAACAAATATCAATTCTTAGTTAACAATGAGTGCTGCATACTTCATAATTTTAATGGTAAACAACAAACTTCTGCGTGCTCTAATAAATTGGATAGTATAAGCACCTTTTGACCCTTGAAATTTTTAAATAGGGCGGCCCTTCATAATATTTTTTTATGATATAATTATTTATATTGCACTGGCGCATATTAGGGATCTACCTTCAGTCGCGGGTTAAAATATTGTAATGAAGAATATTTATACTGGTAATGCCATATTAGGCTCAGCTTAGCTTTGACGAAGAGGTACACATATAGTATAGTAGAAGAGGTACACGTATAGACAACATATTTAACATGTATCATCCACAATTTCAATCACTAGGTACTTTGTTTAAAGATTATGCGTACATATAAAAGCTATATTATATTATAAGTAGGTACATAGTAGTAAAATAAATATACTACATTGTAAATATATAGATCCAAGTTTCGTTCACAGAAAGAAGAAAGAATCCGGGTACTTAAACAAAAATTGGCAGAAAAAGAAGCAGCGGCAGCGGATGGAGTGACGCAAGGTACGGGTGGGGTAATCGCCGACCTGGCTACAGCCACATCTGACTATGGCACGTCCACAAATTACACGAGATCATCTCGTGCATCCGTTTCTGATCTTGATTTTTCTGAAAGCTATCTCTAAGATAAGCGGACGTTAGTTAGTACCCTGTTAACTAACAATCTCTATGTTATAGAAAATACAATGTAGCTAACAACTCTATTGATATAACTTTGTTAATGATTAGAAATACGTGTACAATGTTAAACTCAACTCGGTTTCTTAAAATCTTTATTACTTTTCTTTAACATCTATTTCTCACCACTGAATGAAAAATCAGGGATAATAACATTTACACAAATACGTCACAAATTTAAACTTTGCAAAAATATTTTAAGTCAAAAATCGACGGCGAAGTTTCATTGAATAAATTTTTCTATCTGCAATCTTTTCAAATTTTTCCATACTGACCTATTTCAGTGGCTCACTTTTGTGCTTATATAAACCTATATTTACTTAGTGCAGATCATCAATTTAAGAGGAAATCTAATAGATTACACTTTTGCTTATATTATTGACTGTTAGAACGTTTATCTACACTAAACAATAAATCAAATTTCATATTATATTACTTGCCTACTCTACTATTGTATATTTTTTTATTAAATTAATTAATACAGTTTAAATTAATTCAATCAAAGTTCAAAAAAATAACTCATTATAAAAAATTCTGTAAGCTTTGAATAAAGAAAATGTGCTTAAATCTGACGCTAAGCCAAAATATATTACTTCTATCATCTGCTTATAGTGCCTAGGTATAACGTTACATTTACATTATATTATTTCGACCCTTGTCACAGACTAGGTAGCTTCCTTGTGACGGTCGATGATTATGATACTTCGATATTTTACTTACGTGTACATTACTAGGTTTTCCTTCAGCTGCCCTATACGTCGATCAAAATTTACACAGATTATTCCCCAAACTAATAAATAGATACTTTTTCATAATAATAAAAAATATCGAACAAATAATAGCGTCCGCTTATTTTAAATGCATTTGTCAGAATATACTACTAATAAATAATCAAATAGATTCTTAATTATATTTGGGGACTATATACACGTAATATATATAAATTATTACGTTGTGACTGACTCTACGTAAATTAAGATGCACTTCTCGTGTAAAATAAAAAATCGATTATCTAAACTTCTCCTTAGAATCAACCATACTTAAAATACTATAATAAATCACGAGACTTTTTATTTATAATATAACTAGAATTTAGTAAATACTTAAATATAACGCAAAAAAAAAAGTTTAAACGTTAAAATTAATTTTACGTATACTAAGAATTAATTTAATTATTCTTTAATAGTATATTCTAACATACATAATATGTTTTGTCATCTTTCATCCATTTTATTTATGAATTTAAATTTATATATATTTATCGAAAAATAAATGAACGTGACCTAAGCATAGTACAAAATAAAATCGCCAACAAATATTTCTGTTGCTAATTAACTGAAATCCCGGCTTTATTCATTTGCATATGTTTCACTTCGTACATAATCAACTTAACAAAGTTTACATATAAAACATCCAAAAAAATCCGTATCGAATTGAAACCTGTTTTAAAGTAGGTATATTTATTTTAAACCAGTAAATTAACTTAAAACTTACTATTGTAACTGTTATATTGTAAAAGAGTTACGTAGTAAATGGAAAACTGTATAACTAAAAATCTTCTTTCTAGATGAAAATTAAAAAAAAACTAATTTCATACTAAACTACTTATGATTCTTCAATGCATAAATCTTTTATTTATAAATTCTCTACACTTGTTACAGAACACAAATGTGAAAAATGATTAAGTAAATAATATATATCATATTATAACATAACTGTCATACGTCATACTGTCATACGTTCACAAGCATCTGTTTTGGTCAATTTAATTTTATATACTAAACTACTAATAAAAATAAGACTGGCTTTTAACTTATTTGCTCGGTATAAGCTATATATAATCAGCAAATAATTTCATAAACATGATTTCACTTGTCTAATTAATCCCATTTTGATAAATAGACTAAGATATTTTATTCTACATTTTAAATCTTTCTGTGAATCCCAGTGTCCTTTTTCAATCCAGACTCTACCTCACAATTCGTGACAAATGCACGTGTTACCTTACGTATTGTATATACGGTATATATACCTTATCCTACCTTTAACTCTCACTAGACTGATTTAGAATTACTATTAGATTACGAAGTTACACGAATTAATTACTGTTGAGCAAAACCTTTCTAGCTCTTATCTCTCGCCGTTCTTATGGCTAATAAGAACACTCTAAATTAATTATAAGTCACTACAACGATTCATCTATGCTTCTTAAATGTTTAAGATATTATACGAATGTCTTCAAATTCGTCACTTTTAAATATAATTGGCACAAATTTAGATAGATATAGGTTATGGTCGTTGATGAATGACATTTTATGTAAAATGTTAATTATTTATAGATATATTCGTAATATATTCATGTAAAAGTTAGTTTATGCCTATTCATATTTTTATTTTAGCATAGTTTGATTCATGCAGTCAAATCTCGTTAAAAGCATATATTAAATAAAGTTGATATTATAAAATGTACATAATTTAAGTTATATATAAAATACACTATTAAATTAATTGGTAATGTTTTCTTTTCAAAATTGACTTGATAATGAGGAGAAAGATATTTGCAAGGAGTTTGCGACACGTGTCGCGTGTAAAGCATATAGTAAGTATCTAGCTGGAGATGTTGTCAGTTTCGTAGCACCTGTACGTGTTTTTGCCCGACCTCGCATGGACCCCTCACTGCACCGCCCTAGCGCCGACACCTATTGTACGTAATCCGCTTCATCGAATTAATTTCATTCATGTTAAAACCATAGTTAAATACTTAAACTTTATTTCTTAAATGTTAATAACCATTAAATTTAATATTTTTTACTGTAACTGACTGTGATTTAACTTATTATTGTTTATTTCATCATAGACATAACAGGTTTCGAACAAATTATTACTATTTACAACATAAACACAATCTACATACAAATTTTAGGTAAAACTATAATGTATGAAATATAAATTAAAATACGAGTAAATGCTTAAAATTGCAAAACTGTCTGTTGAATCGTTATTATACCTTGCGGCTTAAATATGTTTCAATTCCGTATAGAGAAAAGACCTGAATTTATAACAATCTTGGCAACATTCCAATTTAGCTTTCACTAAAGCTAAGCACCGACATTTATATTTAACCATACAAACACACATACATAGCTCTACAAATCTTTAATGGTACATACATAAGATTTATTGTATGTAAATATTTCATACCTTGTTTGAAGTTAGCGTTATTATATGATGCTGTGTAACGAGATTTCCTTGCATGAATGTTACTGGTTGAAAATGATGGCTTCGATTGGGAATTCTGCAAAATCTACGAAACTATAATTTGTTTAAAGCGCTTGTAAAAATATGAATATACCTACTTTCGCTTACAGGGTGAATATTGCTTTAACGTTTAATTTGCTCGTAGATTTTGATAAATATTATAATTTATGCTTTTTTTCCGTTGTATTAAATATGCCATAAATAATGTAGGTGTTTTATTAAAAGTTTTCTTTTTCCTCAACAGATGTTCAGGACGAACAGATCTGATCTACGCCTTCATTCTGCGATTATAACGTTGAGTAACATTATTGTTTAGTAATATGATGTTATACTTAATATGTACATATTATTAACACGTGTATCTTTTACTCGGAGTTGCTTTTTTTTCATGGAAATATGTATTTTGTATCAAATATCCTTATAAAATAGTTTTTTAGGGTTATAAATATTTCGTTTTGTTAATTGGTATAAGCAAAGTGTATGCTTAAAAGCAAATGAAGCTAACAAAATGATGTATGAGTAAAATAGAATAGAAAAAGCTGCAGACTTACGCTTACACTGAATTAAGTTCTAAGATGATCTCTATTAATGTTATTAAAATTACATAAAAACACTTTCTGAATCACACTTTTAAATTAATTTTAAATTCAAATACTCATATTTAGTTGAAATGTAAAATGGCGTGTTAATAATATACCACTCGCTTTAAAATTATTGCCGTAGAATTTTCATTTACGAAAATGATACTTAACTATATGAAATAAAAGTGTTCTTATAAAAATAGATAATTTATTTATTAATGTAGCGGATACATTGATGGGTTAGAAAGAAGGTTAAATGAAAGTTAGTCTGAACTTATATATAAAAAATATTGTTCCGATGTCATAGTTGTGTTATAATCAGGTTGTAATGAAAGATCGTTGCTCAGTATTTAAGTTAAGTAAATCTTTAATTGTTTTACCATTTATATTTTATGAAAGGATCAATATTCAATATGTTACGTTTAAACTAATAAAAAATAGATATATATCATATTCTAACTTTGTAGCCTTTTATTGAAAAAGTCAAATATTTATGCATACTTGTTTTCCTGTCAAAAAAAGAAATGTACAGCTTCTAGAACTTTCTCCAGAAAACTTTTTGTAACTTTATATGTCCTTATAATTTATTATTTACAAAATGTTGACAGATTATATTATATCTTTAGAAATCTCTAGTTGTCAATTCGGTTCAAACTTCATAAAAAGTACTTATTGTTTGTGTATTAAGAAAAAAATGTTTTTGTTTTTTTTTTATGTAAAGGAATTGACAACACCGTTATATTCCAAGATTATTTTTAAATATATTTATAAAATAATTGATTAGATTAGAACTGTTAAACTCAATTTGATGTTACATATCACAATAAACAGGAAGTCCACTAGATTATAATACATTATTATGAAAATTTGTTGCTTACACGTTTACTATAGTAAAATTTTTAGGTATTGTTAAAATATCTTTCATATATAGTGCTCTCTCATATATATTATGTATTTATCATAAAATTGAATTGATTATTTTATCCAAACAAAGTTTACTACATATGAAACCAAAATTTAAAAATTCATATATACATGTACAATACATATTATGTATGTATATTGTAAGCAAAACTGAAATTTTCCTATGTCAATTTTATTACTCCACTAGCGACGCACCCTAGCTTCGCTCGTGTTCGTCCCTAGGTTGCTTCCCCATACAAACTTTCAACCCCATTTTCACCCGCTTAAGGGATTTCCGGGATAAAAATTATCCTATGTCCTTCCCAGGGTCTCAAAATATCGTCTTACCAAATTTCATCTAAATCAGTTTAGTAGATTCGGAGCCTATTCAGTACAAACAAACAAATCTTTCTTCTGTATGATATTAGTAAAGATTACCATACCATACCATTTGTTAGGTAATTATAATTTTTCTATTCTTTAAGATATTGAAAATAATATTCTTAGCTATAAAAGCACGCAGATAAAATTGGAAATGTCCAGTTATATTTTTTATTTATAAATAATTATATATACGTTCTAATAAAAATAATATGTACATATTTTGATAAAATAATCAATTCGACTTCATTTTATATAAAGTACTTACATCAGAAGATGAAATAAATAAAGCTAGTGGACATTTGACTTACAAATCACATCACACGTAAAATATTACCTATAATGTCAGTTAACAATGGCTCTCTAAGTGATAATAGATGCCAAAAATGTAAATAATAAATAGAATACCATTAAAAAATATTCTTTAAATCATTTTATCGTAGGCAAATAATATAAAAATTATGTGGTAAAATAATTTAGATATGTCACAGTTTACAGCACTGCCAATTAAGTCAAGTTAAAGAGTTACTATATTAGAAGTAGTTTAGAATAGATAGTTTTGTTTCTGTTCGCTTGAATCGTTGTTTGAATCAATAAAAAATTTGCATCGGTACCTGCTATAGTGAACAAGTGTGCTCCAATCAAACAAAATACTTAAAACAAATTATTAAAACTTCATATTCGGTTTTCTCTTCCAAATGAATCGGGAATCCGAGTATAAAGCTTTCTTTTTTACCATATGAGATGTTATGTAATAATTTAAATCGATTTTTAATATTTTTACTATTTATCTATTATAAAAAGAAAAATATGACTTTATTATTGTAAATGTAGTTTTATAGTTTTAAATTGGTTGATTGCAATTGTATTCAATTTATAACATGATCTTAGTAAAAAGATTTGACTGCATAGAATTATACCTACTGTTGTTTCAGAAGTTGTTGTTAATATATGATTATTATTATTAATTATAAAATTATTTTGATTAAATAAATCGTTGTTTAAAAAGAATTCAATCACGCTTATTTTGAGAGTTTGTACTTATTTTATATAGATTAGTTGATAAGATCGTTAGCTTTTTTTAAAACCACTATTTATTTTTCTGTGATCTGTACTTTTGGTTGTAATATTCACCACCTTGTAAATAAAGAGTCATTGAATGATCTAAATGTATAAAATACTTTTATTTCTAGAAACCTTTAAAACATTATATAGAAAGCTACTTTTGATATTATATCTAATGTTTATAATCATTATTACTTCTTAGTAACGGCTGTCTCTCAGATAAATGAGATAAATATATCTCGATCTAGAGCAATGACTTGCTTTTATAGTGATCGTGATAATTGTCAGATTTCAAGTAATAAATTTCCCTGGTATAGAAATACTACTTATAAATAAAATACAGTTGCCGGACTATGATTAAAACAGCTACTCCAGATTGTGGTCTTGTGATAATTTACAAGGTACAAAAACCCTACTAAATTATGGTGGGTGTTTTAATACGTGTGGGTGTTTATTAGTAGGTGATAAAAAGTCACAAATATAAGTATAATAAATATAATATATAAAATGTAATAAATAAATGATACATACATATTATACCGATAGTGCAAGATCGGGAAGTCCTGGGTTCGAGTCAGGGCAAGTAGTTATTGGGTTTTTTCTTTTTTAGAAATTAGTTAGAAACCATATCTACCCCTAACCGTAAATATTTAGTTAAACATAATAACTTTAATGGTTTTTGTTTATAAAACACACTATTCTTATTTCAAAGCAAATAAATTCCAACGTAAAAAAAATTTTTTTAACTTATATTCTTTACTAACTTACATTTTTAAATTCAATTTGCGTAGGTATTCTGCCAAAAATACGAGAGCTAACGAGGTAAAAACTAAACAAAAAATGTGCTCTGTGATTGTACGTCTGCGCAAAAAAACGATAACATCAAACCTCAAAACCACAACGGTGTTCTTAAATGGAAATTAAGGCGCAATAGGTCCCACGAAATTTTTCATGCAAGTCAAGTTTCCTAGACCACTAAGCGAGTTACACGTTAACAAATATTTTGATCTACCTATTGTAAGCGTTTTTTCAAGCTTTTGTATAAACTTTTGTTACGATTATTAAAATAATAAGCCTGCTTTGTGTATAAATTATATTGTGTAGGTACATATTATATACAAAGCTGAACTGTTTGTTAGTTTGAATGCGCCTATGGACCTATTGATCGAATTTGAAAAATAACCTATTTATTGAAGAATATTATACATCACACTACAACCTGCGAGGTCAAAGTAGTTCTACAAAATTTTCGCGAGATAAATCTAGTCTTATACTCGTATTTTGGTTATCTTGTCAGTAAGTGCCTTTTTTTTTATCGTCGGGAAATGCATTTTCGCATACCACCTGATCCCCCAGGCGGTGATGTGGGGCTCACCGGCTAGAAGAGCCGGTACTACCCACTAAAACCCGACATCCCTTCCCCCCGCCTTAGTGGGACGCCGCAGGATCGCTTGCGCATAACTACTACGGCGCCCCGGCGGCAGGTCTGCCTAAATACTAGGCAGACCACCAAACCAATGGGGCTGCTCCACAGTCAACTCTGCTACGTCAGAGAGGTACCCGGAGAAGCCCCATAAAACCAAAACACCGCCCACCGAAGTGGGCCACCTCCAATCGGCTGCAGAGGACAGGGAGAGCGGCAACGAAACACCGACACTCCTCTTCCCCTGCAGCCCCACCGCGTCCACCATCAAACGGTGGCGGCCCAATCTAGGCCGCGGAAGGTAGGGAGAACGGCGCACCGAAATACCGGCACTCCTCTCCCGCCGCGGCCTACCCCTCCGCCGAATGCGGGCCTGCGAACACAGTCCCGCAACCGGCACCCATCATCCGGTTGTGGGACCAAGCGGTCCCACCACCGGTGGCCGCAACGTCTTCGGCTCGAGGCCTAGACGAGCGGCCCCATCCAAGCCATTTGGTCCGCGCCGGATTTCTCCGGTACCACCCGCCCCTCTAAGCGGGTGGCATGCCCCTATCCGCCACCTGGGGACGCGCCCGGTAGGAGTTGGCTTCTCCCCCGGGTGTCAGTAAGTGCCTGCTCAATCGCTGCTTCTTCCTATACTTGATTTCACCGATTTGTGCTATTTAGATGTGACTGAGAAGCAACTCAACCAATTAAAGCGTCTTCAAAATCTCGCTATTCGCTTTATTTTTGGCTTGCGTAAGCATGACCATATATCAAACTTTCGTGCTCAACTTAAATGGCTCCCAATCCGCCTTCGTCGTGATATGCACATCTTTTCGTTCCTTTTCAATGTTCTTAATGACCCTAATTCTCCTTCATACCTCCATTCTCGTTTCCAAATTATCCCTCCTAACCTCCCTCACGTTCCA